CACGCACGCACACGCGCAACTCCGCCCGCACCTCACTCGCGCACCCGTCCCCTCCATGTCTATCCACCCCCGTTTCGACCCGTTTCCGTCGTGATGTCAAATCCCTCCATCCTGTCCCTCTCGCTCAGAAAGGAAGGCGGAAGATATGGCATCCCCTGCTCCATCTCCTCTTGCCGCTCTGAACGCTATCCGCAGCGTGTATCTGGCGGCGTTCCTACCCTCGCCGATGTTTCCCGCTCATTGGGGAATGTGGATCCCCAACGCTCTTGATCAGGCCGTCGGGACGCTTATCAATGTCCGTGGTGATCCCTGTAACGGCTTCGTCCACGAGTTTGAGCGTGGATATCGTGCCCATGACTGTGAAAGCAGGCCATTACTTCGACCCCTGGGTACGGCCGCCGACTTCCCTGACGGACCAACAGTTCCGGGGATAGATACAAATCCATGTAATGACTTGGAGCGTTTGGCTCTTTCCATTCCACCTCCGGCCCTAAGCTTAACACCAGCAGGCTCGAGTCAGGTATACAGAAAGGCCCCTCCCCGTTCATTGCCATAAACAACTGCCGATCACTGACCACTTCAAAAGCGTCGGTTTCGTGTCGCCATCAAAAACTGTCAGACCTGGTTACGCCAATTGGTGGATGCAATGATCGAGAAAGGCTTAATCGATCCCAGCGCCAAGGATATATTGGATGCTTCCCCTCAGCACTAATTTGCGGAGGGAACCCCTGGTAAATCGCGTCCTGCTGGTCCTACAATAATACGTTTAGCCCAATGGATATTAAGCACTCAATGGCAGCACTCTCGAAACCGGGCCGTACCCACCTACATGTCCATGTGCATTAGCGCTCCTTGCTTCCGGGTTGCTTTGCTGGAATAAGGAGATAAGAAAACTCTCCCTGTCCTTAACTGTCCTTCATTACTCCTACTTGAACAAGTTCTATACGAATCACATGCAACTCTATTCCGAATGTCCCACAAGCCTCCGCAATCACGAGGGGAATCGAGCCACCAAGCCCTGCAGCCATGCCGGACACTGCTGCCCAAGTACTGCCACATCCCTTATCGAGTATAAATTACGAGGCTTAGCATGAGGCCAAGCGGAGATATGTGAATACGTAGCAACGATACAACAGCGGGCAGAGGTTCATATGGTCATGGCGCACTACAAATTGTTTCCCTTACGGCCCTGTGAGACCGACGGTCCCACCTCACTCATGGAACTCTAGCTTGCCGCCCCCACACCACGTTTCAAGCAAGTTGAGACTTTCTGATACATTGCCACAGAAACTCGAACGGTAATCAAATTTTCAGAGAATGCAATTCATGTGGTCTTTTTCATATCGCTGGAATTGAGGGGTTACGGGCTAGGCAGAATCCTCCCGAGTTGTCCCGCACGGAGAGGGGAACGGAATCGAGTAAGCTCCCTGCAGAATCCGGGGGCGCCTCTGATGCAGATCCGCGCAGATACATTGTGAATAACTTGGCAAAATCGAGGTCGATCATCGAGGCTTGGGGGCCAAATATAACAGGGGGGAAGTTTGACGCGGGAACTTACCGGCTATTTTACTAATAGGGCTCATGATTATTTCTTTGTCGATTGAAGCTGCTCTATGGAAAGCTGGGTCTTAGGCATGACGGAAAGATCTACGTAATGGTCTTCTTACACATAACGTATTTGATAAGCGAACGGTACAGATAAGCGAACGGTACACTGTCACGATTTCCATCTGCAGGCATTGTCACAAAAAAGAGGGGTCAGGGCGCTCCAATTGGTTGGGGTAGCCAACCAATCAGGAGGGGCCCAGGGCCCGATCACTTTCAGTCCGGGCCTCGGACCAAGGCCCGGAGCAAACACAGATGAGGTTCGGGCCCAGTAACAGACACTCATTAAAGTTCTCTATGTAAACAAACTAGGTCGAGCCTCCCTTATGGAGCTCGACAAGGAAGCAATACACATTCATCTGCTTCATTACTTGTGAAGGCAATCTACATCGTGTGTATCAAGACTTCCATCCGCATAGTTCAAGGAGCTTACCTTCCCTACGTGACGCACCCCCCCCCAACCCACGGCGTACCGCCTTGCAGTTCAGACACCCCGTGTGTGGATTGTAATATACACTTTCTTAGCACGACGCGACCTTCCTACTCTCTTCACCAATCCTACTACCAATTTGCAATGGATTCGCTTCCAAAAGAATCGAGGCTTATTCTTGCCATTGAGGCTACCAAAAACAATCCAAAACTTACTCTTCGACAAGCAGCTAAAATTGACAACATATCTCCAATGACCCTTTCTGCTCGACGGGATGGCCGGCCTTCACGACGCGATATTCCAGCCAACTCAGGCAAGCTTACGGATTTGGAAGAAAAGATGATTGTTTAGTATATAGTCGAACTATATGCACGCGCATTTCACCCTCGGCTTTGTTACGTAGAAGATATGGCTAACCGACTGCTACGCGAACGCGACGCGCCCCTTGTTAGTAAACGCTGGGCTCACAACTTCGTCAAACGCCAGCTAGAGCTTCGGACGCGTTTTACGCGTAAATACGACTACCAGAGGGCCAAATACGAAGATCTAAAGGTTATTGGCGAGTGGTTTGCGCTTGTGCATAATATGAAGGCTAAGTACGGTATCCTTAATGACGATATGTACAATTTCGACGAGACTAGCTTTATGATAGGTGTTATCACACTTACTATAGTAGTTACTACCTCTAATGGCCGTAGCAGCAGCAGGCCTAAACAAGCCCAGCCTAGCAATCGAGAGCGGGCTACGGTCATCCAAGGCATAAATGCTCTAGGCTAGGCCATCCCACCATTTATCATCTTAGCTAGGCAATATCACCTTACCAACTAGTATCAAGAGTGCAGCCTTCCCGCTCCCTAGCGTATTGCAACAACCGATAATGGCTGGACTACGAATGAGAAGGGCATGGATTGGATTCGGCACTTCGATTTCTATACAGCATCTCGTATAAAGGGTACATACCGGCTATTAATCCTTGACGGCTACGATAGTCACCACTCCGAGGAATTCGAGACCTATTGCTAAGAGCACAACATCAAAACACTCTATATGCCTCCGCACTCTTCCCACCTACTCCAGCCATTAGATGTTAGCTGTTTTGGGCCATTGAAGAAGGCATACAGCCGCCAGATTGAGCAGTTGATGCGGATGAACATCACACACATCAGCAAGTTGGGGTTTCTTTGTGGGTTTAAAGAAGCGTTTTTTGCTTCAGTTATAGAAAAAAAATATCCAGGGGGGGTTTGCCGGAGCTGGCCCTATGCCGTACGACCCAGAGAGGGTGATATCGAAGTTGGATGTACGCATTCGAACCCCAACACCCCCAGCCTCAAGCCCAACAACAGCACTACCTTGGGTCTCCCAAACACCACATAACGCTCGAGAGGCCACCTCGCAATCAGCGCTTATTAAAAATCGAATTTCCAACCATCAAGGCAGCTCTCCAACCCCAATGGTAACTGCTGTGGACCGATTAGCCAAAGGTACAATGGCTGTGATGCACGAGGTGGCTCTTTTACGCACAGGGGTCTATGCATTACGAAAGGCCAATGAGGAGCTTATTAAGCGACGGAGAGCCAAAAAAAAACACGTGTGCGGCTTGGAGGGTCACTTACTGTGCAAGAGGCACAGGATTTACTGGATCAGAAGGCTGTGGGTGAGCAGATAGTTGGGGAAAATCGACAAAGTGGTGGTGGTGCAGGGGGATCTCGTACGAAGATTCGGTGTTGTGGTGTGTGCGGCAAGCCTGGCCATAATGCTGTGCACGTGTAAGGAGGCTGCAGAATCGTCTGATTCATCTGTTTCTGATTCAGTTACTATTATTCCCTAGTTTTGTGGTTGTGTAATTAAGGATAGTTGTGGTAGGGTGGTGGAAAGTGTACCGTTCGCTTATCTGTACCGTTCGCTTATCAAATACGTTAATATAAACTCTGCATTCTAAAAGCGTTTAAGACAACGCTTCAAGCCATTAAGGATATTCTTAAGACTGTGGGAAAATGCTTAAAGACCTTGAAAGACAAATGTGAGCCGTAGGGATCAAACATTGAGGCACAGATATTATATCTTGAGGCTTAAAGGGGGAAGAAAGAAGAATGTTGTCAGGGGGGTTTTTTTTTAAGTTCCCCGCTCATTGTATTCCTCTCCTCATACTCTTTACTGAAGCTGTCCCAGTCTGCATCTTGGCAGAAATAGACAAAGATATATAGGTATTAGAACTTTAATAACCAATACCGTCCCATGAGTCAAAATTTGCAATAGTAATAACGAGCAGACAGATTGTCGACTATCGAAGTAACTGGGTCCCACGACTGCTAGGTTCGCACAATCTATCATCACCTTCACCACAACTGACTTGTCATCACAACTTCACACTTCCATCAGTTAGCGTCATTAACACAAGTAAATATAATTCACCGGGTACAATCACAACTTCCTCCGAGGAACACAAAGTGGAATCCCGTACAAGAAGCCCGTTGTGAGTCACCCCGGCTAGGTAGATTGATGCCCACGATAGTGGAGCACATACTCCGCCCCCCCTATATCCACCACCACATTTGGCGATCCTCCTAATCACCCATCTTCTCCACGCTAATCTTCAACAAAATTCGATTCAAATGGTCGCTTTGGCGGAGTGGTTAACGTGCTTCCCTGCTGCCTGACTCAGCAGCAGTTGAGGAAGTTCCTTCGGGAGCGTAGGTTCTATTGTAAAAAAGCTACATACCAACATTTGTGAACTCATTAAAGTATGTATTTAGAGATGTTTGAAATGGTAAAGGAGACCAGGAATCTTAAGTTGCCAGGTGATGCGAGCCAGCGACAAAAGCGCGAGGAGTGAAAGACATATAAAGAGATTGTATCTCGCCAGCTTGAATTTCTATCTTGGGAGACCTATCTATAATTAGCTCTAATCCGGGCTCCGGAGGCACATTGCGATTAAAAAGATATATAAAAAATAAAAAAAAAGATTCGTCGCCTGCAGGATTCGAACCTACGCTCCCGAAGGAACTTCCTCAGCTGCTAAGCCAGGGTAGAAGATAGCAGGGAAGCACGTTAACCACTCCGCCAAAGCGACTACTGGAATCGAATTTGTTGAATGGTAGGTCACGGAAGAGGGTTGATGTACTGTGTTGAGCCGAGCCGACAGCGGGTTCGGGAGTGGTGGATGTGGTGCGGAGCGAGCGAACAGGCGGGAACATTGTGAGTCACACCGGTCAATTGCACGTGGTGGAAACTTAAAGCCAACATGTGTCAAATAACTTTGAGGTCTTTGTGTGATTTATTGAAGTTACAAAGTCTGCAATGAAACTCATTATGGCCTCTTTTCCCGCGGCCTTAAAGACTTAAAGTCCTTGGTGATGTTTGTGATGGCATGCTCCACCGGAAGCCTCTCCATGGAGCTTGCGCCGTAAAACCCGTGGACGCCATCCGTGTGGCTCATGACATACAGAGCGTCTTCAGGCGTAGCAATTGGCCCACCGTGGCAAAGCACGATAATCTGGTCGTCCACCTCCAGTGCAGTGTCGCTGATTTGCTGGATCAGTTTGCAGCAGTCGTCGAGTGTCTTGCCGCTGGTCGCGCCGATTGACCCGCTGGTTGTCAGGCCCATGTGCGCAACGATGATATCTGCACCCGCTTTGGCCATCTTCGTAGCTTCTTGTACAGTGAAGACGTAGGGGGTGGTGAGCAAGTCCATGGACCGGGCCAGTCTGACCATGTCTACCTCGGCGTCGTACGACATGCCCGTCTCCTCGAGGTGCGCGCGGAACTGCCCGTCGATCAGGCCGACGGTCGGGAAGTTCTGCACGCCGGAGAAGCCCATTTCCTTCAGCTGCTTCAGGAACTGGGGCATGCTGCGCCAAGGGTCCGTTGCGCAGACACCGGCGAGGACTGGCGTATGCTTGACGACGGGGAGGACCTCTTTTGCCTTTTACATGGGATATATGCATCAGCAAGTGACCTTGGCGGAATGTCGATAGACTGGGGATGTTCATACCATGTCCAGCGTGACATCGTTAGCGTTGCCATAAGGCATCAGACCTGCCAATGACCCCCGTCCGGCCATGCGAAAGCGGCCGCTGTTGTAAATGATAATCAGGTCGCCACCGCCGGCCTCGACAAATTTGGCGGAGAGGCCGATACCAGCTCCAGCGCCGACAATGGGTATGCCATCTTCGACTTGGCGGCGGAGCTTTTCCAGAATCTCGGTCCTATTCATTTTTTGGTTGTAGATGCTGCCTCAAATTGTTTGGGACAAAGGATGGTGGTGTAAGTCAGTAACACTCGGATTTTGGGGATCGGGAAGGAGCTCTCAGTGAGGGAGGGGTTCGTCAATCTACCCAATTCATTACGTCACGTGTCTTACCTTGGCCTTTACCACTGGCAGTGGATGTGCTGGCGTCCCCACAGTTCGGGTGCTTTGTGTTGCTGTCGATCATCGGATGCGGAGCAACTCACGAAAAGAGGAGGGACAATTGTCATCACATCATCCGATGTCTCATCAAACCATCAACCACCATCTAAACAGATCGTCAATGTCAACGAGAAATGGCGAACGTAGTTTTGCTCGGTACCTGCGATACGAAACTCGAGGAGCTGCTGTACCTCCGCGAGCAGATCCTCCTCAGCAATGAAATCGATCAAGTGATTCTGATGGACGTTGGGAGAACCCCTGTCGAGAACAAGGCTATCACCGTCTCCCAGAGCATGCTGACAGAGCAGTATGGTGGCGGCAAGAAACCATCCGACCTCCCCCGCGGCGAACTGATCAAGTTCATGTCCGAGTGCGCGACTGAGTCTGTCCGCACGTGGTATAAGCACGGCATGATCCACGCCATCGTCGCGGCCGGCGGGTCTGGAGCGACGTCTCTGGCAGCCCCCGTCATGCGTGACGCCCTGCCCATCGGCTTTCCCAAGCTGATCGTCTCGACCGTCGCGAGCGGCGACACGGGTCCCTACGTCGGCGAGACCGACATCACCATGATGTACTCTGTCGTCGACATCGCCGGCCTGAACCAAGTGCTCCGCGACGTGCTGGCCAACGCTGGTGCTGCCATCGCTGGCGCGGCCGTGGCGTACCGCAAGCGCCAGGAGCAGAAGTTGGTGTTTCCGCTCCAGACCACGGCCGCAACGACCAAGAGGCGCGTGGGCATCACCATGTTTGGTGTTACCACTCCCGGCGTCGACGCAATCCGGCGCCATCTGGAGTCCGTGTACCCGGTCGAAACGTTTGTCTTTCACGCCACCGGGCACGGCGGGAAGGCGATGGAGCGCCTGATCCGCGAGGGCCAGCTGGACGCAGTCCTGGACCTGACCACGACCGAGGTCACCGATCATATCACGGGCGGCGTCATGTCGGCCGGCCCAGACAGACTCTCGGCGGCTGCAGCGTCGGGAATCCCCAGCATCGTCTCGTTGGGCGCCACCGAGATGACCAACTTCGGACCCAAGACAACTGTCCCAGAAAAGTTCAACAGCCGAAAACTGTACGAGCACAACCCTGTTGTGACGCTCATGCGGTTGTCTGAGGACGAGTGCAGACAGATCGGCGAGTTCATCTGCGAGAAGCTGAAAGCTGCCAAAGATCCCAAGATGGTGCAGGTGTGGATTCCTCAGGGTGGCCTCAGCATGCTTTCAACAAAAGGGGCGCCTTTTGAAGACACACAAGCAGATGAGGTGCTGTTTGAGACGGTGCGAAAAGGGCTCGAGGGCAGTGGGATTCAAGTTGTAGAAGACGAGCGGGATGTCAATGATAGTGGGTTTGCTAAAGATATCGCGGAAGCATTGGCCAACTTGATGGGGCTGTAGTGTTGTTGTACTCAAAGAAACGCAAAGGATATCTATATTAAGAACATGAAATTTCTCAAACGTTAGTAAGAATCGGAAGTTCGCAAGCGAGGCCCGAGGACTTGTTGGACCTCTTCGGGACGAAATGTGCCATCAGCAGTGACCGAGTACGTGGGTGTCTTAGAGCTCCATCTCCAGGCGTTGTGGATTCGGAGCAGGGGCGTCTTGGGGGATGGGTTCACCTTCATGAAGTTGGGGGGTGGTAGTGGTCTTGCGGCTTTGATGCCAACGATAACACGACTGTTTTAATGGCCTAAAAACGACAAATTCTACCACAATGATGACCACGCAAGCCACTGTAAGGCATGAAATGAGCACACCATCAAATGCATTTCATTACAGTGGGAAGTTAGCCGAATTAAAAAACCACAGCTCGTACTCAACACCAAAAAGGTGTTTCAACTAATCTATCTGCTAGCATAAAGACGAGCGGCGAAGTACTCCTGGCGTATCAAGTTTAACCATTGCTGCGGGTTGTTCTGTTGCGGGTTGTTCTGTTGCGGGTTGTCCCAAGGCTGTTTTAGGGCTTCGGCTGAGATCTCCTTGAGCATCAAGTCTGACTTCCGTTGCGGGTTGTTCCCAGGCCGGTTTACGGCTTTGTTCAAATCCAATGTCCATGCTGCATCGGCAATATATGGGCGCATAGCTAACCACTGAACAGTCTTGTCGCCGCACCTTGGCGGAGACATGGAGTGTCGCACTTCGATGAATTCGTCCGTCTTTCTTGCATTCATCGATATCAAATTGCGGTGGGCTGGGGTTATAAAAACACCCATTGACTCAGCGAGGAGGTGTGCGAAAGATGCCTCATTGGTTCCAGATCGCAGTTGTGTCGTCTTTGCACAGACGAACACCAAAACATTTCCGAACACCTCGTCGACTGAAAGGTGGTAATCGATCGGCACGGCGTCGTTTGTCAGCCCAGTGAGGGCATAAACCTTGTCGCGGGGATCGTGACAACCCCGTTCGTGAAACGTTTCGACCAATTCTGTGATTGAGGTATCGACGCACACGTTCGCGGACCGCTGGACCCAGTCTTGCCTTCTCTGCAATAATTGGTAGCCTTTTGTTTTGTTCAAACTCCAAGAGGGGTGGCGACGTGGGAAGGGGCCCCAATCCAGTGTCCTCTGTAGGTCTTTCAGCCTGGCTAGAAACATCACCAGCCTCGCCCAATCGAGTGCCTTGGTGCCGCAGATAATCACAACGTCTTTGGCGAGTAGAAATTCCTGGAGGATCCACATCCTACCCCAGTAGTCTCTACTCAATAGATCCTCCAGGGCGGATGCCGGTGCGGAAGAAGGCCAGGAGTTTTCTTGCCACTCCCCTTCCCACGACACCTTCTCTGACCACTCTCGTTGTTGTAACTGCTCCCAAATGCGCCGAATCCACTTCCTCAGCCAATTTATCTGTCGTTGTTTCTCCTGCTGATACAACGTCTCATCCAGTTCCGGGGTCAGCAGCCCCTCCTGTAACAGCCTCCGTCGCTCCACCAGCAACTGCTCTTGCCGCTCTTCCTCTGGCTGCTTTGCTTCCCACCACGGTTCCCACCACTTGGGTATCCACTCCTCTCTGCATGAGTTCTTTAGGTCCCAAATTTCGTTGCATCGATCCCGCCACTCCTCGCCCGCCCATGCTGTTCCTTCTCCCACTGCTTCCGCCGTCATTTCCACCTGCTGTTCGAATTTCATCATCAGGGAGTCTGCTTCCTTCAAAGTTTTCTCCATTTGGGAATTTTCACTCCCTTTGTTCTCTCGCCATTGCAGCAGCCTGTTTTTCCGTATCTGCAGCTGCTTGTCCCAGTACATCCGCCGATATAGTTCCGTTGGTTCCTCCATCACCCACAACTTCTCCCAATGGACTGCTTCCCTCTGTTTCTTCTCGCACACCTTTTCGCGTCCTTTCCACTCCTCAATGAACTCCTTAGGAGAGGAACAATAGTAACGCGAGAGAAAGTCCATGGCATCGCAGCTACCTTAGCTTTCGGGGCCTAGATATGCCAGCACCCGGGCGGCGCTAGAATAAATCCGAGCCATCAATCGGATCTGGTGGTTGCGCTCATTGATGCTGCGCTGGTTGATGCAGAGTGCGTCCACCCAGAAGAATTGGCCCCTGCTGGCGGGGAGCTGGGCGAGGCAGAGGACCAGCTGGAGGAGATTCTCGTTGACATTGAGAGACATTCCGGACACCGTCACGGCATGACTCGCCGGGAGCATGCTCCATCGGTACGAG